AAGAGGGCGAACGTTGCGAATACTTCAAACGATTAGCAGACCAATTTGACAACTGGACCGTGCATATATGCGTTCCCTTTTACCCCAGTGTTGCCGGAGCCTCTTCCCGCAAGGTCACCTTCAGAAAACCAATGCTGCAACGCATCTGGAAATGTGAGTAAATGATGGGTGTGGTCATTGTGTCACGTATGTGCGAAGAGTTGTGCACTCTCCACACAGGGGGCGTTTTCTCCCCCAGCATGCTTCACGTACGTAAGCTGGGAGTAAACGCCGTCTGTGTGGTGTGTAAAATTTGGACCCGCGCCGCAACAATAAACTTTGCTATCTTGTGTGCACTCACTAACAGTGCGCGTTCGAAGTTTTCTTGTGATGAAACCATGAAAGTTTCTAATCCTCCGGGCGGAGCCACGTCACAAGACGTTCCACGTTGCTAAGACGCGCACCACTGTACCATGCATTTTTTATGGGCTCTGTGCGCGCTGCTGTTGAACGACGGTCGAGCCGGTGAAAATTCGAGAAAACAACACAACTCAACTTTGAAGTAATCCTGAACAACCGAATTTATATATGTTACACATGCAGGGCTAATCTTGTTACACTGTTCATGGGAGTCTCAACAACCATCGCAAAGTACCGTTTTCTGCGAGTTTTTGGCCTTTGTTTTCACCGCGATGGTTGCCAGGCGGTGAAAATGCCCGGATGTCCGCCCTCCCCCGAGAATATGCACTGGCTGCTTCGTACATTCAATAATAATCAATGCACTTGCGTATTAGTGTTTTTTATTTTTTTTCATTCAACTAGTACTATTCTGTGTTCTGCAAACGCAACATTTTAGTGCATGATAAATCACAATCCAATTTGTTCTACAGTGTGGAGTATCGAACAAAAATATATTCAAAAATTTGTTCTCGTCTGTATATTTATTCAGTTCTGTTATTCGACATTCTATGATGTATCGTGTTCCTCAGAGAATGTACATGTTTCCATTGGTCGATTTTCCCCCACATTTAAATTTAAAACATTATAATACAGAATACAGTCGCGTCAAGTTTTTTTTTGCGCATTTTAGAATATGGGATGCTGTATTACGAGAAATACATATTCACATATGTAAATTTCCTCAGAAAATCCGGCGACGCAATGTTTAGAGTAAACTCTATTCATTTACACGTACTCTTACTTCACAGCAAGAAGAGAGGTTCTGCCGGGCAAGTGCGAACAGTACGCAGCACAGTATCCGGAACTAAAAGACGCTTACTACAAGAAGAAGGCGGAATTCGATATCATGCCAGAGCAACCAGAAGTGGAAAAAATGAAGGAGGTCCTGACAACTACTGAAGACATCATGACTAAGATGGAGCAAGAACTGGGACAGATTGAAGAGAAACACGGTAGGCAAACTGAACTGTGAATGGCGTCTCTAAAAGTCGGTGTTTTAATTGTCAACATTCCAACTCATTCTCTCTCGGTATCTTGTCTATATGGAACATTTACGTAATCCTTCCGCTATAATAAAAGTAGTGGTTTGACGTATTGGGAAGCCTTATGTTGTTGTTGTTATAATAATATCCTAGTTTATCATTGTTTTAAATATGCATTTTATTATTATTTTTATTTATTATTTGTTTGCTGATTGAGATCATGCTGAATTGTTCGAGTTACGGATATCGAGTTACGAAAAATGTGGACGTTCAACAAAAAACAAAATGCATGTTGCCCATAACTCGAAGTTCTGTTAACTGTTAATTGAACATCGAGTTACAATTTGGGTGTGGTTTCACAAAAGTGGACGTAGTTTCAAAAATATGGGCGTGGTCATTTCTGTATCTCGATGTTTTCGTAACTCGATGTTCGTAACTCGATGTATACATCAGTCATGTTCGTCGATTTTTCATGCCATTTTCAAGTATGCTTACTATATGTTCAGTTTGGAAATGTGGAAAAAAAACGATTATTAAATTAAGATTAAATATTGTGTTTTGTCTTCGTTACCAGGTAAAGACTTTTGGCTTTGCGGAGAGAGGTTCACAGTCGCTGACATATACTGGGCCGTGGTGTTCTACCGCCTCGAAGACGACGCTCTCGCTGAACGGTTCTGGGGAAAGGGAAAGCGCCCTCGCATTGCTGCATATTTCCAGCGCTTGAAAGCGCGTGACAGCTACTACCAGTCCCTTCCCTCTCGACTCGTTATCATAGCGGGCGTACTCAAGGACAAGTTGCCAGTTCTTTTGGGAATAATTGTTCTGTTTATCGGTGTTGTTGTAGCTTTAAGTTTAGCAATGTAGCGGCGAATTCGACACAAAACACTGCAAGGCGCATTATTTTGAGGAAACTGCTTTTTATTTTATTTATAATTGTCATTGAAAAACAACATATTTTGCAATTTAATGATCGATTTCTTATTTTTGATTACATAACCTGGCTGTGTGTTATACACGTATCTAGAAAACATTTTTACATGATTACATAATCGGAGATATTAATGGCAGATTTAGAGAAAGTTACGTCATATTTTTGTATTGTCGGGTTTATACATTTCACTGTAATTGAAAAAAAGGAAATAGTAACCCTGGAGATAAAACCGCCCGTAAGTTATTGTTTAAATAACACTTTTATTTCTATTGTTATATTTCATATTTGACCCATACCTCGCACATGCGCGGCGCAACGACTGTCGTCCTTTAAAGTATAACACTTAATACGTTTTAACTGTTACAAAGTCTTTAAGGCAAAATACAGGTGAGCAGGCAGTGGTATTTTTCGTCGTGTAGAGCGCCCTCTGTTCAATGCACCTGAAGTATAGAGGGCGCAATACAAGGAAAAATGACTACGCGTAACGATAAGCACACTATAATGTTTTATTTTGACATCAATATGGTTTGTGCGTCCAGTAAAAATGACAAATAAAAATGTGGACTTTAAAACAAAATAGGTATTTTGAATAATGTATATTTTTACTTGTAGCTTTCCAATAAGTACTTACGTATATTACTTGTTTGTAAATTGAGAAAACAAATAGATTCTTTATTAATCGATAAATTTGTTTAACCTTTCAAAATATTGCTGGAAACGGGCAAATAGTACAGTGCCTTGATTGTGACTCGCGCTTTGTATAGCTCTTTGAGTGTGGGAGTAAGGTGGATAATTGTATTTTTTCGTCAAGAAACTAATGCTTGCATTTCTGCACTTGTTCCGTTTACATTGTAGTATGGGACAACGAAGTTAAATAAAATGACGTTTTATATTGACTCATTAAATTACATTGTAAGTTGGTCTTTATTTTCCATTTACTCAATGATATTCTGGTATCGGTGAGAGTGTAAACTAAAACCGATGCGAAGTGCATTGTGTTGTCTATACCCGGGCGCGAGCGGCGACCTACTTTTGTCCAACTGACAGGTTGATTGACGGTCTTGCTCTCGGACAATAAAATAGCATTTTGTTTACTTGAGGCAGGGGGCTGTAAAATCCACTGAGTTGTTTCAAATAGGACCTCTTCAAGAGCGGCGCGTTGATCCACGTCCAGTACCGTGACAGAATTACGGTATCTCTGTAGATAGATAACACTGTATCAGACCCAGTTGTCTTATGTCAGATTCAAAATGTAGTTATAACGCACTTCTATAGCTATATCAAAGACATAAGTCTATGGATATATATTCCCTATTTGAAACAGCGATGTTTTATCGTATTGGTATTTTACGGTCGGTGGTCGTCACGCCACGCACGTGGGAGATTTATTTGTTGATGAATTCGAAGAGGGATTTCACATAACCTATTGCGTTTTCCCAGTGACAAGGATGAATACGAGTTTTGATCTGGTCGCATTTAATGCTGACTTTTACTTCTTGGAATCCCCGTGTTCCAATCATCCCAGGAATTACCTAGCACAGTAGTGTCTTTGTTTTTGTACACATTGATCTGTACAACAATTAAAGTCCTCATCTTTGCTAAGTATAGCTTCAGTCCAGCTGACAGGCTAATTAACGGCCTTGCTCTCGGACAATACAATGACAGGGGCTGTAAAATCTACCGAGTTGTTTCTAATAGAGACTATTCAAGTGAGGCGCGTTGATCCATGTCTAGTACGGTATCTCCGTAGATGGATGACACTGTATTACAATTGGTTGACCGATGTCAGATTCAAAAGACCGCGAACACAGCAAAATGATTGATACGTCTGAAACATTCACCTCATGCATTGGAGGGGTGTTCAGAAATGCAAACACATCCCATACACGGGTACACAGGTTTCATCAACTCAAATTGCATACAAGTTTATGCCAAATATATATGAACAAATGTATTCAGTGCCTCGTCGTACAAATATATGGAGGATGGAGAAGATAAGGAGTTCTATCATCGCACTAACATAACAGTATACTTCGCAAATGGATTGTAACGGTTTGTTTACCGGAGAATTTCGACCAATGCTTCGCGATTAAGGGGCCAGAAAGAGGGATAACTGCTATTTTCAAAATACCGAGTTCGCGATAACAAGTTTGTCACAAACTATGTCACCACGATCTTATGGTTAGTTAATGAGCTGTCCCGACGTCAGTCATGCCTGGTTTAACACGGACCGTGACCCGAGGATTTAACAATGGTCTCCAAAGTCGCATGTGAAGGTTTCATACCACATTCAAGGGGTGGTGTCACGTACACATCAATTTTCTCTATTTTGGAAAACAACTTTTTACATGCTTGTATTTCAAAACCTTTATTGGGGGGGGGGGGCTTACAGAAATTACAGAAAACGACATTTTACGATTTTACAGGAAATAAAATGAAAGTAACATTTACAGTAAAAAAATAGGTTTTACACTTTACAGATGAAGCAAAATTCCTAATTACATTTTTTATAATATTTTTGATAGTTTGTGTTTAATAATAAAATTGGAAATTGCGCACGAATTATGACAATTAATCTAGAAAATGCTTCATACGCTTACAAGAAATAATATTTCTATACAAATTACGGAAGAATAAAATAGCTGATTACATTTTACACCTTGTCATAGTCTACGAATTTCCTTTTTTTTATATATATATTTAAATTACATTATTACGAAAATAAAAATTGATTACAGCTTACGAAAGTACCCCTCATTTTTTTGCCGACCCTCTTTATTCAATATGAACAAGGCTTGAATTTGGTTCTGGCAAAATCCTTTTGGTGGACTGATACATTTAGAGTGAGTAGTCGGCTTGGTCAAGTTTGCTAATACTGCAAATTCCAGTGTAGTGTTGAATCGGCTTTATTTTTGAGACTTTGAACACCGTAATGATGCTGACGATATGATAATTACTATTTGATTTTAAAAAAAACCAAATCACTCTTTTTATAAATTCATTTTTAATTTGGGGGTAGTTGGATGTATATGCATGTATAAAATTGGACTCATTGGATATATGCGTGTATAAAATAGCCCTGCTTTCCGAATGTTTTCATTGTCGTCAATGCGAAGTTTGTCTTTTTTTGTGGTGTGTAGTGTGAGAGCTTATCTTTGACTAGAGATGGTGAATGGATCTCTGCCAGTAGTAGTTTCCAATAATCCTTTCCTATAACTCGCGCCCTCTAGTGACAAAGCTATGCCTCTTTGATCTGTCGTCGTCCATCAAGGAAGATGTATTTTTAGAGAAATTTTGCTACATTCTAGATGATTACACAGCCAAACACAGTGATCGATTTCAATATTGTCTTCACTCATATACGTCATTCTGATGCTACAGAAGCGCACCATCACACAGAGGGCGCTAATCATATGAATGGTGTTGAAGGTACATGTAGTTGCAAATATTTAACTTTAAGAATATATGTTGGAAATCATATACGTCATTCTGATGCTGCAGAAGCGCACCATCACACAGAGGGCGCTAATCATCATAACCCCGCTACCGTACAGACTACTAATCCGATTATAAACTCACAAATATCCACAGAAAAATATTGGATTTCTGACACGCAGGTACGAACAACTGTTAAAGATTGTTTTGAATTACACCATGCCAATATGAAGGGACCATCGGATTTAAAGGGTGGTAGTCATTAGTGCGACATTTGTGTTGATAAACATTAATTTTTCCATAATCCAATGCGCCTTTCTAATTAAATCACGAGTACGAGTTTTTTCCTGGGCGCCACTTGCACTAATTACCACTGACGACTCCTTCAACTCTTGAAAAACACACAAAAACTACCTAATTGAAGCTTGGTGACTTCTTTAGTATGTACTCGTTGATCTGCGCAACTGTCAAAATCGTCATCTTTGTTTATATGAGACTCATATCTCGCGCATGCGCGGCGCGACGACTACCGTGTGATTGTGGACAAAAAAATGCTGGGCTTTACGAGCAACCAGAATTTGTTGAAGATGTTTGTTTTGTGTATCCTGGTAATATCTTTGGGGCGTGTTGAATACAGATGAATTTTTCAATAACACACTTATCATGAATTTCAAACTACATGTACAGACATTCACAATAAATTCTTAGTAACACCCCACCCTACTGAGTAAGCAATATTCCCTGTGATCACTTCTAGACGTATTCACCTTTAATAGTCTCTGGTATTGTTGTACAATTCGTTGTTCTCAAATGTGGGGAAAAGGTCACATTTTACGAATATGACCCATTCAAGCTCCACTCTACTCTGTAGAAATACGTGACAATTGGTCGCCTTACGGAATATTTTAATACAAAAGAAGTTAAAGTAATCTCTTATAGACTGCATAATGTGCACAGTACGAAAGTATAAGATGAAAATTGGTGACTCGGGCGCGCCACATCTGACACATCACCGACACGAGCACGTGCCCAAAACAAATACATGACGTCACGCCTAATGGGATGACGTATTACTAAGGAAATAGCCAATGTGTAAACGTCCACTATACGAGTAAGGCAGTGGCCGATGGATAATGGGTAACTATTTCGTTGTGCTATAAATGCGTGTTTACGATTCTTAGACAATGGGAGGATATTTAGTTGCATGGGTGTGGCTTGACGTCTTGAATTGGGTGGGTTGTACCATGGAGGTACAAAAGCCAATATCACCAAGACGGTAACAAATAGTTACAGATTGGCGTTAAACAGTCATAAAAAGATAATGGGTATTTGACCATAATCTATACAGGCTATCACAGTACCCGCAGATTTGTTGTTGGAGATTTGCGGAGATATCAATGGAGGAACTGAAAATTGACTATATATTATGCAAATTAGGTAATTATTATGTATAGATTTTATCACAAAATAATATGCATTGTTCTGAAGCACCGATGTACCGAGTTTCATTGAAATCTGAGATATCGTGGAACAGACATACAGACACAAATACACGCCGACAGGGTAACTGCAAAGTGTGGGGTTCACA